TTAGCACTCCAATCTTTCAGCTTTCATTTGATCTGCCTCCGAGTGTAAAACATGCTGCTCCTCCTCCATGCTCTACAGAGAGCTTGCTCCCCAGTACATACCTAATTTGTAGCTAATACTCTCATTGTGGCTACTTTAATAAGAGTACAGATTTTTTTCTAAATGAGATGCATATGTGGCTCCTAAACTGGCATTTTCTGTCTCGGCTTAAACTTTTCCATTCAAGATGCTACATCATACTTAATTTTCTATATTCTTTCTATTGATTTAATTCCTAGTCTACATCAAAATAATGCCAAAAAGGTGACTGGGACCTACCCTGAAGAGAAGGAGCAGAAGCCATCTGCTTACACTGCTCTATTGACCTTCTGCTTTTTGGGTAACGCTTTTGGGTTGGGGAATAATACTATCTAAATGATGTTTTTTCTAAGGATGGGAGTCCTGGCAATTTTTCTCCCTTGCTTTTCTCCTAGAAAGCATCTCTTGCATGGGACACAGAGCTATGAGGTGGAATCAGCTCCTTCCAGAACAGGCTGGAAGCTCAGAAGATGACTGTTGCATTCTTGCAAAGCCGCAGACACTGAATACAATAAGGTTGAGCCCAAATCCTAATGGGGAACAAAGTTATAACTCAACCAACTGGAGCTGAGAAAGGCCACTGGCTCTGCTCCAGAAAGCCTGGCACATTCTGGTGTTTGTGGAATATCCTCTTGTTTCTTACCAGGACGCACTGCTGGGACAAGAGCAAGCTTATGATGCTGAGGGATCTCCTGGGTTCGGCTGGAGCAGAAATACCTCGTGGTTTCTCTACATCTGGGGGGAATTAGTAAGTCCTGGAACACATGAAGATTAATAATAAGAATAAAAAGCTTTCCTTCCACCCCCCCATCACCTCCTCCCACTGACACAATTTAAAGATTTAAAATCAGTCTGTACCGCGGCCAGAGATTGGAGTTATGATTGTAATGTTTCCATTTAGAACAAGGAAATTGAAGTAGGGCAATTAATCAATAACAATATGGGAAAGTACAGACTGAAACAGTCACTTGAAGCTCTCATGCTTTGCTGGCTGAGGGGAATTTTAGGAACTTCTGTCTCTTGCTGCCCTATACGTTTTGTATTACCAACTTCCAAGTGCAGAGAGAAGCAGTGCTTTGTGTTTGTGCTGCTTCACCCAAACCCATTCATTTGCAGGGAGCGGATACTTAATTATGAATAATCCCAAAGTGCTTCCCTGTCTGTTGTATGAACTGTGCACTCAGGCCCATTTCATGCAGCCATGAAATGCCATCATCCCTCAGGTGAAACAAAGCAACTCTTCAGCAGCACAAAGCAAGGCTGCACAGCAATTTAGGGAAGGAAGTGAAAAATAATGGATTCATTTGAAACTGCAGGGGGATTTTAACTATGCAGAATGCAATTACCAGAACTGGAGTTTATCCAGGACACTGGGGTTAAGACCCCATCTATTATAAAAGATGCCATGGAATTGCCAGCATCCTTCCCCTCATTTCCTATGTGCTGCTCATTGGGATCCTGAGTGCACTCTGGAAGAGGCTAGTCCTGTTTAAACTGTGAAAAATGATGGGACCTCAGAGTAAGGTGCAGAGGAAAAGGCAGTATTTATCTCAGACCCGAGCTTTCCTCCAACATGGGATACAAAAGCCTTTGTATGAGAGAGGGAAATGAATGGCTCGAGTATGTGACTGTCCAGAGCCACGGAACCAGGGCAGCTGCTGGTCCGTGGTGTAAGTGATGGGCTGCTGAACAAACAGCATGGATTTACAGTCTATGTTTTGTCATCAAAACCTGGGAATGGACCATATCCAGATCAACTTGATGAAAGTTAGTCTGTGAATCCATTTAAACAACCAAATCCTTCTGAATCCAGAAATTCCTCATTTTGGTGGAGGCAGTAAATGAAGGACAGTGTCTCCAGCTTGATGGTTAGCAGAGAAGAGTGGTGTCACAGCCCAGAAGATGTAAATCTTGTCTGTGTAACATCTGTTTGGAGCTGTCCCCAGCAGTCTGAGCTCTGGAGAGTTTCTTGACCCCTCAAACCCACCAGGTCCTCTGCTGCCTCTCCCTTGTGCACGTGGGCCTTCCCTTGTTTAGTAACTCCAATTGACAAATAATTAATAAGCCATTTCTCCTGCAGCATTTACACCCTGGTGGAAGCAGAGAGAAAAAGCAGATATGCCACAGGCTGGATTTTAAAGGAGACAAGAGGGAAGTGAAGCAGCACAGCTGAGCATGGTGCCCATTCCATAGAAGCCACGAGTGGGGCAGATAAGCAGTAGTGTATGGTGTATGAGAGGCAATCCGTGTTCAAATATGTGTATATTCTTAAGATCCATAAAAATAAATGTTGTATGTCAGTGCTCAACATTTCCATTTCTGGGCATTTGGCTGATTAAATTGAGAGCTGGTAAGTCCTGTGTCCTTTTGTCTAGAGATTCAGGTGTTAGATATGCTCAGTGCTAGAAGTACTTGCCCCTCTTACCTTCTTTCCATTTACAGTTGAGAGTGTTCAAGTCTTCTTTAAATTTATGTCATTAGCTACCTGTAATTATTACGTATTTAAATCTGGTGAGAGCAGACATATAAATAAAAGAAGGAAACATGGCAGTGAATGTGGATAACATGGACTGCTTGCCCATTCACAGGTGCTGGATGAAAAGTTGCCATTTACTACTGAAACCCCAATAAATAATGCTTCAGTCCCCTAACTGCAAATCTTCCTAATAGGATCTTTCATGCCCTGTGCTATAAATCAATGCCCCTGACAAGTGAGCTTTGAATTCCTGGACAAAAACAATTATCAAGATTAAATCAAAAGCATCATGCTGCATGCGAAGGTGGTGTTAGCCAGGGTGCTTTTCTATGAACAGAACTGCTCAACAGAGGCTTATAAATCTAGGAGATGGCTAAGGCTGAACTGAAGAAATGTGACTGGGATGGATTTTCAGGTTTTATTGTGCACAGGTTTTGTATATGGTTGAGTCCTCCAGCTCCTGCAAGACAGCATTCATGGCTTCCCCCATGAAAACCAACAGGTGATGATGCTGGACACAGTGACCATGCCCATACCCCTTCTGCAGTGGCATTCAGTAGCACAGTGTGATTTATACCAGCAGAAATACAGAGAAGACCACAGATAGCAAAAGGGTACCCAGGGAGATCAGACACCATTTGCAGTTTTATTAAGAGGAAGGACAAGCAAAACCTGCAGAAATAAACACTGCTGGAATAGAAATTTACTCCATTTTGAGAACGTATTTCCAAGCAGATTGGAAGTGACAGTGTCTGTGGTAGTTACTGTGTTGAGTGTCAGCCCAGTCATTGAGCCTTTACCCAGTTTTTCACCTGTACTCAGTGATCATTCATGGTATATTCCTCACAGACACTGATTGAGCCAAAAACTGTATGCTGTGCAGCAAGGAGCAATGCTAAGAAATACAAGAATATATGCTTTCCAGCTTCAATAGGTAAATTAAGTATGCAACAGAGATGGTCTATTTACTTAATGTGAAATAATGCTCTGTTTCAGATTCATCCTTAATATCCTCTCTTAAACTACTCTAATGTATTTTTCACACGTAACATTCCTGTCTGGAATAGTTCTCAGCTTATTTTCTTCAATTCTTCTCTAGGGAAGCAAAGATTTGCATAACATTATGTCAAAAGCCCATTGAGGATATATTACATGGAAATTTTGTAAAAACAGGTTCATCCTCAGGTTGTGAAGAGGAGCTGGGCTCAGAGCAAGGCTTTACAAAGCTACCAAAGGCCAGACAACACCCAGAGGTTCTGCTTGCTGCCAGCAGACAATGGGAAGGAACTGAAGAGTTAATAGATCTGTCACTACAGGACATAGAGCGGATGCAAGATGCGTTCTTCAGTGCAAAAAGAGTGGTTGCAGAAAAGCAACTGTGATTCATAAGCTCGTGGAAGCGGCAGGGCTGTGCTAAGTGCCCAGCATGGCAGAGCCATACATGATACAGCAGCTGTAAACACAAACATCATAGAGCATGCCTTGTTATCCTCAACTCCCACCTCACAACATGGATGCAAATTTATATTTGGGAAAGTTTTTCACTTTTGAATAGTGAGCAATAAACATTTTCTTGGAATTCTGCCTTTCAGCAGATGAACAATAACTTTAACTTTTTTAACAGCCTTCATCACGCTGAGAACATTGATAGTAACAGCTATATTTTTTTTATAGCAGGTTGTAAGGGAAATGAATGTTACTTGCTGTGTCAAATGAAGGTCACCCTGACCACTACTTATTCCAGGGAAACTTTAGAGGAACTGCTGCTGTAGCTCAACTTTGGGTAGCATTGTTAATGAGCAAAGGGAAAAATAGTCTTAAAAATCCAGTGTACAAAAATATCTGCAAAGTCCAAATAAAAATCAATAGCACAGCATGAAAAATGGCATAGGAAGTAAAATAGCTCGTCTGCTGGCTCATTTAGAAATACTTTGCCCTGACCTGAAGCTTCAGCTAAGGGAAATACAGGTTTTGTAATCATTGATCTAATGAGCTCCAGCCTCACTGAAGAACAGCTCCCCTACTTTTGCCTTTTGTTTTCTCTCCTTCCTGCCTGGTTTAACTTGGGCTGCTCCAGAGGCCAATGGCAGGGCACAAGTGTGATATTTGTGGTCAGAAAGCATTTTGCTGCTATAAACATGGTGCAAGCACCTTCTAAAGCAGCTCCAGCAAGTGAAGCTCAACTGGTGAGGATGCTCACATTAACACTCATGAAAGATTTTATGCAAACTTACAAGCCAGAACTTTGTGGTTTGTGCCTTAGTTTGTTATGAAAACATGCATATATACAGCCTGAGTCAGAGCTGGGTTCCCCAGCTGAAGATAAGCTTTCTGCATTGATTTCTCTTCCAATCCCACCAGCTGGGCACAGTGCTGATAAAACATCCTCAGCTACAGGAGGTTCTCATGAGTACCCAATGGCCACAGGTGTTCTCCAGCCTGCTGAGGAGGTTTTAAATGGGAGAAACAAATACAACTAAATTAAATATGCATGCCCCCAGTGGGAAGAAGCCGACCTGTGGAGGAGGAGTGTCTGTCCAGTACTGTGAGCACCATCTCAGCACAGTGGTGAGTGAAGCCTGCTGGCTGTGCTAGATCAGGTTGATCTGTGTGAAGGCTGGGGCAGGATTAAATCAGGGGAGTTTGTGGCTGCTGTTTTGAGTTTGCATTCCAAAAACTTTGCTTTCTTTTGTATTATGGAGTATGACTTTGCCCATTCTGCTGCTATAATTTTTGTTATAGACTGTTGAATCGTAGCTAACAGGGGGACATGGGGGAAGAAGCAATGCAGTGGGTGTGTGAGGGCAGAAATTATCCTTAAAGTACGCTGGGGTGGAACAGCAGTGATTGCAAGAGGATAGCAATCGTCTCTTTTTCTACTGGAGGTTTTCCCCACCCAGAACTGGTCTTGAGAATCTTCCTGCTTTTTCCAAAAACAAAGGACTCCTCATGTCTAAAGCACTTCAGAGTAATTTCATCTCCTGTTTAACTCCTGGCTAATAATTTCATCTTTCATTTCCTCCTATTGTTCCCTCTGGCATGCATCCCATCTATTATAAGCCCCAGATATCATAAAGTAATTTTTTCAGATATAGTGAGAGGGAAATAAGAGTCAGATGGTTTGAAGTAAGATTTTTATAGCAGCACAAGTTCTGGAAGCGTTGTACAGAGACTTGTATTAAAGAAATGGCTCCATGGGAGGAAACGGGAGTGAGGAGACAAAGCAGCCCTAGCTTTCTGTAAGAGCCAAGGCAAGAGTAATTGCTTCTATTTAGGAATCCAGTGCAAAATGGTGCTTTGCAGGCACTAAGGAGGGAGGTGAGATTTTCACAGACACAAAGTAGCCACTGGATTATTGCTCGTGGCAGCTGGGCATTTCTGAAAACCTCCATCTAACTCCTGTATTGAGAAACTTGGCTGTGAGTCAATGTGTTTGAAACATTAATGTCTGTAAATAGGGTTCTTGCCGCTCTGACTGCCTGCACAATGGCAGCAACTGCAGATGCATGCTAGCTGGACATGAGTGTGTATTTTTCAAACAGGGCTGGGCTCTGGTGCACCATGCCTCAAGGCGTTGTCCTGCTTCCACATCTTCTCCCATTTCTACAAGAAATGTACCTCTGAGAGCTTACGTTTCTTATATCTTATGATGATGGATCAGAATCCCCAAAACACCAGCTCAGTCTGGAATTAGCAGGCTTGTCTTAGAGAGCTGCATGTGCAGCTCTGCTTATGAACCCCTCTGGATGTGTTTCTCTTTCTTCCTATCCACATCAGTGTTTGCCTACCAGGATGAATGTGTTGGCCATTTAGACAGGAGGAGATGATGGGACTTCCTGGAGGACACATCAAACTGGTCCCACTGGCACAGCTTCAGAGAAAGTAGGTGGAGGAGCAAATACTGGGTTTTATTTGCATTGAGTCCTCATTCTGTTCAGAAACAAAACGTTTAGCATGCAGGAGATAGGATATTGAATCAACAGATGGTTGCAAGAGTGCTAAACTGTAAGAAATCTTCTACATGTTAGAATTAACTTTGGGTCAGAGAGGATAGTGTTTCAATCCAAGTCACTGCTGGTTTCCTTTCCTTGCTCTGAAATGTACAGGATGCCTTATGAGCTGCTATGCAAGTAGTTGGCTATAATCTGATGCATAGAACTTAACATTAATTAGAGCATATCATACCAAGTTCACTTCCCCCACCTCAGGGCCCTGAGCCAGAAGGAGGGCTGACACTTTGCAGTCATCTCCTGCCATGTGGGTTTGAACTCTCTAAGAGCAGCTCTGACAGTCCCAGGGAGCCTGAAGTTGTTCGTGAGTATTTTACAGATCACCTTGTTTCCTGTGCCAAATCAGCACTGACAGGAACCAAAGGTTTGCTTTTTCTGAGGATCTTTGTTTTAATGTATAGACTGTGTGTGAAGGGGGTTGGGGGGAGTCGGGGGTCAGAGAGGAAAACCTCCCTTTTAGAAAAGGGATTAAAACCAACAAATATAGGGCGGCTGCTCAATCAAATCAGCCAGCTGTCCAATTTCATTTGAATGTGGGATACCAACAATAGTGGTGATGGTGTCCAAAATAACCAGTCCTCAAAACATTGCTCGGTGAATTCAGGTCTGCTGTAATTATGCCAAACTGTACATTTTCATATAAAAGTACTGAGGGGATGAATGTTCATTTCTCTTTGAAGAACTGTAGTCTTGATAGCATCTCTCTGGTTATATTTGCTTTAGACCAACAGTATGATCCTCTATGAGGGATACAAGAAGTCTTCTTGTGGCAATGTGATGACTTGCACAGTGCTAGGTCCCAGCATCTTTGTGTTGCTGAAGACCTGTATCTCCAGTAGCTTTCTAGGACTTATGCTAACCATTCTGTTAAGGTGTAATCCTGCATCTCCCAGCATTTCTGGTGACTTCAGTGTGTTTAAGAACATGGTGTGGGGAGGTAGATCTGGCCCTACAAGTGTTAGACTTAAAACCTTACTGTTCTGGATTAATTGCCATTTGCCTATAACTGTGTTTTGGATTTAATGAACAGTTATGATGATAACCAGGTTCTCACTCTTTATGGAACAGCAGCACTTCATAAATACTGGATTGTGCTCTTTGTACATCTGTGCTGGTTTCCTACAAATCTGGAAATGAAATTATGTGGCTGCTGTCTTAGAACTGTAGCTATTAAATAGCTATTGCCAACAGATTCATCTAAAATACATAAATAAGGAAAGGAATTCCATATGGTCAGGGAAAAAAATAAATACCACACGAATGTGGCACGGTGTTTCTTGAAGACAAGGAAAGAGTGTGTTTATTGTTCTTTTCTTGCAATATGAAATATGGCAATATTGCAGTAAAAGCCTTACTGTCTTTAGTTTCAAATGGGATCCCTGACCTCTCACAGCTGCTTCTACCAGCAGCTCTGTTCTGTGTTGATGACTGAAGTTTCCTGTGAATCTTTGATGTGATACCTGCAGGAGCCTATCATGAAGGACACATCTGAAAGGAGAAAATGGATATGATCTCTGTACTGGGGCTGCAAGAAGTCAGTTTCTAAACAGGGCCAGTATCTTGGCACTGTATGTCTAATGGTGATAGTATCCCAGAGCACTTTGTCACTGCACTTACCAAATCTGCTTCTTTGGGTTGTGAGCTTTTATTTTTCCCTTCATTTCTTTGGAAGGACAGGTGAAAATGGGAAAATAGATAGCAAATAGAAGTCATTGAGCATGGGTGAAATGTAAAAGCTCAAGCTTGTTGTTAAGATGTAATGGATAGTCAGGGTTTCTTAGAGATAAAAGACATGGAGAAAGTAATATAGGGGTTCTTCAGAAATCTTTTCTAGAGCTTTTCTTAACCAGCTGTGAGACTAGATGATCTTACATAAGCCCAGAAGTACAGTTCATGAATAAGAAATGGCATTTGGGACCAGCTCCTATCATGTAACCTGGTGTAACCTAGTAGCAATGATGTAACTTTGCTGTAGGAGTTTGTTTGAACTGTAAAGCTCTAGAAATGACAAGAGCACAATGTTTCCTGAAAGCACTGGGATGCAGAGAGATTAAAAGAGGTCAAAAAAACAGAAAGCCTTTCAGAAGAAGGTAGAAAAAGAGTCTTTTAGAGGGTAATAACATGAAGGAAAAGGGAAGAGGAAACTTTCAGCATGGGATGATCTGTGTTGACGACTTTATATTTTTTTAATTTTTTTAATTGCCCAGTGGAAAGTATTGAGGAGAGCTGTGAAAAACTAGCTGAACATTTTTATAAAGAAGGAGAATTGGCTGTTTTACTGCAACTTGAGGAAGGGAAGTCTGCCAATGTGAAATTCCTGGAAGGGTAGCAGACCAAAGGGAAAAGCCTTATGGTGAGAGAGGCAAGAGTCAGTGGGTTGTTCCAAGTTGGGATCCTTGAGGGCAATGGAAGGCATGGAGGTGCTGGTCTGGGGCAGACCAAAGCTGCTGTGTGACTTTTAATCATCATGGGAATGAGTTTGCTGGATGTGCAGACCCAGAAAGATGACCAGAAGTCACTGTGCTTTCCCCCTTACCGTTTCCCTTCCCCTCTGCACAGGGATAATATGTTATAATAGAGAACTTGCCCAAAGCAGCAAGGAGTTAAAAACTCCATCAAACTTCAGGTAGATTAAACGTTAAATTATTCTGACACATTATATTAAACAGTCAATTATTTATTAGTGGCACCAGAGAGCACACGAATTCTCTAGATCAGAACAAATGCTGTGATGCAGTCCAGGCTATTTTTAATAGTAATGCTTTGGACATGGTGTGCTGGATGTGATGTGTCTCATCACTACACGCATCACTTAAAGCCTTTATAAACAGCCACACTCTCCCAGAAACCAGACGTTAGGCAAGCACTTGGGCAGCAGCACAGAGCAGTGACGTAGCAGCGTGATAAACATTTGCAGAGATCCAAGTAGGGTCTTCAGATGGCTAAATGTTTGCGAAAACATGACGTGGGAAGGAGGGCTTGTTATGGGACTTGGAAGGCTGTATTGACTGTGTCAGTAATGTTTAAGAAGCAAATTCTCTTGAGCTTCCAAATTCCCAGTCCTCTCAGGTTCGGCGCCAATCCAAACAAGAACAAGTTGCTGAAGAACTCTTTCAGCAAAGGATAATGTATTTCTTCTGCTCCTTGCAATAATGTACCAATAGCAGAAGAAACTGCTGCAAATGTCAGGAGGCAGTTGTATAAGGCAGGATGCCACTTACTTACCTGCCTGAGTCAGCTGCGTGGAAACAAGTTGAATGGTAAAGTGCACTGCCTTCCTCTCCTGCAATACCACTACATGCAAATTGTGCATTCAAGGGCAAGTAATGCTATTGTCAGTACTACAGTGGGAGCTATTTTTAATTTACGAAATGGTCTAATGTAAGCTGTCCTAGTTTCCCAGTGCCCGTGCCTCAACGTGACATAGGGACAGAGCAGAACCCACTTCCTCAGAGGCACTGCTTTATGAGCTGCTTCTTGCAGAATCTCTGGTGTAGAAGTAAGGAGCTGTAATGAATGAATGGGTTGACACAGGACCCAAAGTATTTACTGCAGTGACTTGCTGCTGGGAAGCTGCCTGGGATAAGCTGCTGATACCTGGGGGAGACAAGGAGTTGGAAGACACTGTAGGAAAACAGCACATCAAAAGAGAAGAGAGTACATTCATACATACTTGGGAGTTGACCACTTTGAGTTCCAGGTGTTGTGCTGCTGGCTGCAAACCTTTCATAGCTGGGATAGGCACTTTGCTGTTCTGAGTACAGCAGTGTAGTGGGCTTTTATTTCTAACTGGAGCAGAGAGGCACACTGAAATACAAGTTGTGTCAGAAAACAAACTGTCTAGCTGACCTCCAAAGTAATGTCATTTAACAGCATCAACAAATGGACTGACAAACTGCTGGAAAAATACACATAAAATATGGAGCAGAAATTGCGTGATTTAAGCCCAAAAGGGCAATGTAGAATTGATGTTCAGAATCTGTTCCCAAGTGCTTTTGTCATCATCTGTTACAAGTGCAGTACACTAGTCCAACTGATGCAATTCCCATGGATGTCTTGGCAGTACTTGAGTTACATCCTGCCCCAAGGGAGCTGACCTTTTCATCACTGTGAAGGGAAAAAAGTCCCTCTTGGAATTCAATGGCCCTGTTCCAGTTTGACCATGTACTTTCTGATGGCTTGCTGAGGTCATTTGTGTTGACTTACCCTATTCTTGTGCAAGATGATTTGGCAAATCTCTTTGGAGGGAGCCCATGACTCCGCATTCACTGTGCAGTGTCATGCTGTGGAGTTGTGCCTCTTGTCCCACTGTTTCTCATGGTGCTTTGACTTCTTCCCATAGGCTGGAGCTAAGAGAGAACAAGTCAAAATAGAACAGAGAGAATCATAGAATCAAAAGGTTGGAAAGGACCTACAAGATTAAGAGAAGGAGGGGCTTCCTCTTGCCATGAAAAGCCATCCTAAACAACCTGGCTGGGATCAGAAAAGTCATGTTGAATTGTAAATAAGTGGAGGCAGCACTCACAGCAATCCTTTCCTACCAACAGAATGGAAGTAAGAGAGCGTGTGTTTTTGAGGTGTGCATCAGCAGTAAGGGATTGGTGGGTGAGAGCAGCACATAATTGTTGGCCTGTCAAATGTCAAGATCAAAAGTTCTGAGGGAGAAGGGGAACAAATCCATGAAATATGGAAACAAAAATGAGGGGAAAATAAGTTATGGAAAGGAGAAAGAAAACGGAGCTCAGGGAAAAAGTCAGAAGAATAGTGAAGAGCACGAATGAACAAGAAACAGAAACTGAAGAGTGACACTTTCCTTGTGCTGTTGGAAGCTTAGTTCAAAATTAAAAGTAAGATGTCTAAAATTGAAGGTAATCATGAAGCTGGAAACAGCTGAAAGAAAAACTCCAAAAGGGCTCTTAAGCTTGCCTGTACTGTCATCAGCATCTCCTTTTCTCCATCTCATTCCTGCAGCATTGTATTGCTCACTCATTTGCTGGAGCACTGATTAAAATGGGTATGGAGGGCAGAAGAGAAAAAGAGGTGAGCTTTAGCTCTGCTGCATATTAGCACTGAAGGCAACACTTCTTCATGTTCGTTGTTTATTTTCTAGCTGGAAGTTATAGGCAACTTTAAATGGAAAAGCAATTGTAGTGGTACAGCTGAAACTTTTCATTCACTGCTCCCCAAGTGGAGCACTACAGAATGTCACAGTGGCATGCTTCAATCTCTATTTTGAATGACTTTAACATAAGTAATGTGGAGAATCTCTACAAAAGTTAAAGTGGGAACACTGTGAGCCAGTCACAGCTATGTTTTGATGCAGAGAAATAACAGCTTGCTCTCAGAACTCTGCTGCTGCTGTTACTGCCCTCAGTGCTTGAAAAAGGATGTTTCTCCTCAGCTGACATCTGCTGCTTTTTGATAAATCACATCAGCTCCTTCAGCACAGAAAGCATTGGGGGGGGGGAATAAAAAAATAAAAAATGGAGAACAAAATGGCTTGGAGCATCTTGAGATGTTAGCTGGGTGTTTGCTAGCCCTCTCCCCCAGTAGTCTGAATTCCAGTCCAGAGACTGAATTTTAGGAGCCAATTCAAATATTTGCACCTCTTAACGCTCCTTTTTAATAGATAAATAAATAAGCCTTTGTTATGGTGCTATGGAAAATCTGACAGCGTTTCACAGGGATCCAGCTGAACAAGCAGTCCTAAGGGCTGAGATCACTACAGGGACTGTAAGGAGGCCTGGCTGTGCCAGCACAAAGGGATGCTGCAGCCTGTGCTCCCCAGCTGAGCTTCTGGGGCAGTTGGGCTGTTACATCCCTGGTAGGATACAGTCAGCTTGACAATAAATCGAGCTATGTACTGTGATAAATACAGGTGTTCAGATCCCCTTTCCTTGATGCCTAAGTAAAATTTGTTTTTAGTGAGAAATATTTTCATAAAGACAATGCAGACTCATTTGTCCTGCCACTGGAATAATTGCTCACCTACCTTGGGCACAGCAGAGGAATTGTAATGGAGGAGGAAGATGTGCCCAAAGGGAGATGGACGTCAGCAAAAACTTGATCTGCTTGAAACTCAGAGCACTCAAATTCAGCACATCCTGTGTTTGCCTATCTTCCCCTTTTTGATACTGATCTTCAGATCTGCATTCCTCATTGATTTCATATTATTGAAAATAACAGCTTTGGCATGGCAAAGCTACCAGTGATGTGCTTGGGCTGTTTAAAATGAATGACTGTTTTCTTAGATGCTCCAAAAAGACCATAAAGTAAAACAGACTTTCTCCGTATATTAAGCTCAGCTGCTGCCTCCCTTTTTCTGATCTAATCTGCAATAGATGGTTGTCATATCCTGAATGCTTCTCCACCTGGATCTGTCTGTGGTTTCTGTAATAAGTCAGACATTCCTACTGAGAAATACAATACGCACGTAAATCTGGCATGCTGTTCGTTAGAGAAGGCTAAAACCTCTATCATCCATCCCATGACAAAGTCTGAGTGGTTGCAGCAATGTACCACCACAGATTACATCTCCAGAATGTAATCACCGCAAACTTTTCACTTTCTGGAATAAACAGTACAGCTGAAACGTGAGAATATTTCTGCAGACGCTGCAGTGTCACTGCAGTGAGAGAATAACGCTGTGTTATCGATTCAGCTGAAATGCTTCTTGCAGAGCAAGCATCAAAGTAAGGCTGTTTTATCAGTTTACATATTTTAAACAGAGAGTTTATTTCTTGCGTAATCCTCCTTGAGGCATTCTGGTGGCTGAGCAGAACCACTGCCAGAAGCATCTGCTTCCTGATCTGCAAATGTAATTTCTGCTCCCCTCCTTCCATTTTTCTGGGGCTGACTTCTAGAGTTTTTCCTGTGCTGTTGCTGAATCTGATATTGGTGTTTTTAATGAAGAAAACATAGGTTTGGATCTTTTTTAAGGGATTCCTGAAATTAGACAGAAACTGATAGTTTTGCTACTCTGAGATCAGTCTCTTTGTGAGACTTTGCTGGAACAACCTTCTTCCTGTGCAGAGGAATTGTACCAGGGTGAAAACTATTGCATCCTGTTTGGCTTCAGGTCTTCTGCATTGCTATCTGTTCACTAGTCCCTGTATGTATTGACCTGCTTTGACAGAAGTGATCAGCTCAAACATTTGGGACCAGCTGGTCTCCACAGTCAGACCTGATGGCAGGCAGAGAGCTTTAATGCATGGCTCCTGCAAGCATGATATTCTTGCAGATCTCTCCAAGGCCAGGTTGGAGGGGGTTCTGGGCAGTCTGATCAGTGCCTGAAATAGTGATTGGCAACACTGCCTGCACCAGGGGGATTGGAACTGGTTGGTGTTTGAGGTCACTTCCAACCCAAGCCATTATATGATTTTTCTCTCCTCCTGTTTCTGCCATTTTCTTGATGTTAAGATGATTATCTTAGATAGTTTATGCCAGGAATCAATTGTGGGGACCATGAAAAGAAGTCTAGTAACTAGGCTTTTGCACAGATGTTAGCTCAATCTTCCTCCATCAGTTTCACGGAAGATGTAATAAAGATGAAGCTGATTTAAGGTGTAGGTAAAGTGGGCTCATTGCTCTCAAGGGTTAAATATCTACCTCAGGTGGGAGCTCTGCTGCAGTTTCTAGCTGAGAAAATGGTTTGGAAATGAAAGCCCTTCTACTGTGTAAATGCTCACAGGTACTGTCCTGAATATTTGGATATAGTTTTGTCTTTGCACTTGAATATTTCAGAAATAATGATGCCCAAGCTGAGATACAATGCAATATCTGCAGGTAACTTCACTTCTTACCCTGTGTTGAAGACCTCGGGGTCTGGTTGAGGTGGAACAGACTATTCTGGCTCTGCTGGCAACACCCTCAAGCAGGTGAGGAGCGTTCCCCATCCACCTCCATTGACTGGGGATTGTTCTTACCTCTGTTGTCCTTTTCATTGCTACTACCACCTAAATTGTTTTTTCTTTCATCCAACTTAAAGTCTCTAATATCTATTTGTGCTCTGTGTGGCAGTTCGGAGGAGAGAGAACTAGTGCAGCAACTCTTTTTTGGCACACTTTATTCCCAAGCAGAGGAAGTAGCAAAATTGCTGATAAAAAACTATCTCATTCATAGCTTATGACAGAAATGACTGCCTCTTGTCAAAGCATGGTCTTTGAGGAGAAGAGCTGAGGATTGAGAAATGCTATGAGTTGTCATTCTGACTCTTTCTTTTACCATTGCTGTTCCTTTGCCTTGAAGCTCTGTCTTCAGTTATCATCCAAGAAAGGAACTGGCAGGTTTTCTCAAGGCTCTCCTCGCTGCTTGAGTATTTAACAACACATTCCTGGTGCCATTTCTCTGTTGTGGGCTCTACTGACCAGATGTCATAGGTTATTTTGAGCTGTTGTAAATGGTTGACATTTCAGCTCCTACCTTGTTACTGAGGTGTTGTGAGAAATGTTTTTTTTTTTTTTTTCTAACAGAAATTTTATAACAGAATAATAATTTACTTCTCAAGATGCAGAAAGGTATGTTAGACCATGAAAGAAAACAACCCAAGACTGAAACATGACTCTTGGAATTAACGAGTCAGGCTATTTTTATGAGTATAACTTAAATCAAACTAAGTTATGGGAGAGCGACACATACTGTCTCACTCATCTTGTATTTTATTTTGTATTAAACACAAAGTCAAAGATTCATTTTCTCAAAGAGCTTCCTATTGTGTGTACATAACAGACCTGTGGAAAAACAAATTATCTAGGGGTTGGGCTTTGTTTCTGTTTTTCCATCTTTGGTCCCTCTCTATCTCTGAAACATCAGGAGATATGCTATGACTTCAAAGAGGATGTATCACGTCTGTGTCTGGTTACAGTCATTCCTGGGACTCTAAATAATATTAACTGACATGGACTGCTTGAAAGAAGGGTGCACTGACCCAAGCCTCTGTCTTTTGTTACTGCTTCTGGTTTTATTTTTTCTGGCTGTTTCTAAGAAGCTGTTCTTACTATAAAATTGCTGTCAGTTTGCTCCCCTCTCTGCCTGGATTGCGGCTTCCTTCTAAGACTTAAAGTGGGGCTGGACAGAATTCTATTTATTTCCTATTGACATCTATCTGTTGGGAGAGGTGTCTTGGGTACATCCAGGACAAAGTAATTCAGGACACGGGTTTTTGTAGTTTCCTTGGCTTCTTGGTAGGGCCTGGGTTAAACTACGAGACAAATGCATTTCATTGTTACTTTCCCACACATCATCTCCCCTCTGCGTTTCTGGCTCTGGTTTTAGATGCAGTAGGAGCTGCTCTTCTTCAAGATAGGGCAGCTATTCAGAATAATGATCTTTCAGCTAGAATAAACAAGATCACGGTCTTCTATACAGGCTGAGGTTCTTCCTATCTGAAAGATCAGGTGCAGTGGTTGTATCCATCACACCAGGTGACAAATGGCAGTGAAATTGTAATGGTTACTTTTCTATGTGCCATGTTAACTTGGCAAACACAGTTTATGTTACTCCACCCGGGGCTGTGCTTAGCAGGATATGACCTAGGAGTTCAATGTTTATGCACAATAATGCATTGGTATATTTGTTCTCATCCTTTTTCATTTAAGCATGAACTTCAAAATGCCTTACTTTTAAAACTAAAAATATCTATCTCTCTTTGTTGTTGATGTTGAGGAAGTAAAAAAGTTCCTATGTTCTGAATCTCAAATAAGTTTTGGCCCCACTGAGAGGTCTGAAGCCAGGATCTGATCTGGTCACCATCTCTGCAGGGTATTGCAGTAGCAGTAGATGCAGAGCAGCCAGCAACTGGGGAGTAGGAAATCTGCTGTCACTCTAACGGGTGCTGGGAGATTCTGGGTCCTCCTACAAGCTTCTACTGGGTCCCTTGAAGTTGGTTTACACTTCTAGACTATCTAGCTATGTTGCAAGAAGGAAATGGCTCTTTACCCTTAACAATCTGAGTAGATAAGGATCACTAGCTGCCAGAGAACCTGCTTTTCTGAGTAGTGATGTAAAGCCAGCAGGGCTGGTGACAAGGGCTTGCCTTTCCTAGGCAGGATTCATCCCAGGAGAGAGTGGTGCACAGCAGTCAACAGCTCTGGCAGTGCTGCAGCTGAATAAGCATGAGCCTGGGGTGCTTCCTAACCTGTGAGTACTACAGAGACTTTTTGCCACTTCTAGCAGTGACTTTTTGGGTGGAATCATTAGACAGGATGCAAATAATTTAATAGTAAAATTACAGCAGTGTGTGTGCATGTTTTACTCGTCTTGAGAAAATAATAGCACCCTTTACTACTGCACAGGGAGCTGGAGCACTCCTAACTGTGCCATGCGTGTATTCTTAAAAGAATTAAATTGCAGGGCTGCATTGTTCTGCAGAGATGTGTCTGCCCAGAAGACAAATCAGGACGTAATGTTAAATATGCTGTAGATCTTACATATGCTATTTTTGTGCCTCTGTAGCAATGAGTCTGTTTAGCTACGGGTAGCTTTATGCATAAGTCTCAGCACCCGTGCCAAAAGATCCACACAACTGTTGCAGTTGCTGGTTTTGTGCTGATATAAATTTAAACGGGATCTGTCCATGCAAAAAGAAAACATGTGCATCTTTAATCAAATTCCACATTTCTTCCTTTTTTTTATGCTGCTGTTCAGCTGTAGCGATTTCAGCAAAAATCTATGACTTACCAACACCAGGCTTCAGCTTCTCTGTGTGTAATGACTTCAAACAATGTGGGTTTGCAGGAGGCTTCAACAAAGCAGAGCTTGCCACTACTCACAGCAGAATTTCTGTCACCGGCAGAAGTTATTATATTCACACAGGGAAAGACATTAGCTTAAAGGTTGGTGTTTTTGTTTGTTTGCAAGTCAAGGGTGGAAATTTTCAAAGCAGCACAACGGACCAAATTAACTGTCTCCCATTAATGGAATGTGAAGTTGCTGAAAGCAGCTGAAGTACTGAGACAGTTGGGAAATCTGCAGTCCATTGGCTGCACTAACGCTGAGAAACATCTGCACCGCCGGTCCTCTCTGTCCTGCTGGCTGCTCTTAATAATTTAGAGCAGAGCTAACATTAGGAACCCTTGTTTTTTTTATGTGCGTTGCTTTTTCTTTCTCTTACACGAGCATTTTGCCAGTGATTTGTACAGACATGTTAATGGTTCAGGGTGAATTTTAGAATGCAAGATATCCTTTTGGTGATTTTTCAGATACTAGCGATGCTTTGTGAAGATTACAAAATAGTCTTGCTATTTCATCAGTCAGTCTAAAATGCTCCTTGTGATTACATCGAATGCAGATGAAACGTTTTCTCAAGCAGTTCAAGATATTGAAAAGTGCAATGTATTTGTGCATTAAACATAAAGTACTGAGAAGTGCAGTGTAGTGCCAAAGTCAGTTTGCATGCTTGATGGCTACAGTGGAGATCAGGCTGGGGATAGGTCTGCACATAGGGACTTTGAGATATTTTTTCTCCAAGCGAAGATCAAGCATGTAGAAAACTATCTTTTTGTTTCTGATTATAACAACTTGTATTATATACTTACAGACTTTGTGCATTTGTCAGACTGAAACACGTGCAATGAATAACAAATGCATGCGCCTCAAAGTGACATGATGTTCTGTAATTTATGAAATGTTTCTAACAAATCACATAGGCTGCATATCATCCATTAGAGGGCAGGATTCTCAGAGTTTTTAATCCAGAATTGGGCACTTATTTTATTTTTGCTTGGAATAAGCCATTTTTCATTTAGTTATTTTCTCTGTTTCCCTTTCTTCCCTGACCACAGTGTTGTAAGGCCACTCGGGTAGTATGTGCACTTAATTAAGGAGGAAAGGTTTCACAGAAGATGGGTGCTAGGTGAAGCTGTTTGTACACGGTATGTCAGAGCCTGGTGATGCCAACAGTGCAGTGCTTTGAGTGTACCTCCTACATCACTTACTGGTTTGGAAGCGTGCTAAATCTGTTAGGAGAATGTTAGGAACCATCGCATCCCTCAGATTCAATGGTCAGTCAAGCAGTGGTCTGTGTTATGAAGACAAAAGTGGCAAAGATTTTGTGTAACTGCTTTTGGTAACTGAAAGTTGAAGGCAGAATTACTGGCTGGGATGTCCCCATGAGGTGTCAATGAGGGAAAACATGGCACGTTTCATACAGAAACTATGGTGTGAAATAACCATGGAAACGGTATCAACTGAGCCTGCCAGGTGGTGAGAACAGGCTTTCTTCCCCCTATCTTCCATTACCGCAGCGCCTGTGCAGTGGGAAGAAAGCAAGGATTGGGCAGCTGGATGACAGCTGGGTGTGAAGGAGCTCAGCTCTGCCAAGAAAGGAAAGGCCTCCTTGATGAGGCCATTGCTTTTGCACCAAGAATATGATCTGGGGCAATGCCCAGAGGATCACTTTTTTTCCAGCAGTAGAGTGAGGGTGAGCGATTGCACAGCTTGGGGATGCCTAGTATCCTCTCTGTGCTTGCCAACCATGCAAGCTGGCTTATCTGAAACCTGTAGGAACGAGTGCTGAAAGAGGCAAAATTCATCTGAATATCCTGGCTATTATTAGATGAGCAGAAAGGATTCCGTTGCTCATTTGCACAGTCCTCCTAACAGAGTGCATAATCAAGAAACCTGAGGATCTCCTAACCCATCCACTGACAAAGAGCTCCCGACCCCCTCATTAAAGTGATGGAATGAGAGCTGCAATCAATTACGGAAGTGCTAAAGGCGATGAAAATTAGTTCCACAGGGAATTTGCCTACAAATTTTCTTTTGCCTGCAAAAATCAGCTTACGACATAAAATCCCTGAGGGGAGAGGGGAATGAAACAGAAGACCAAGGCATTCATTGTATGGAAAAGAAACAATTAAAAATGAAATAATGAAGGCACAGCTCTCCTCATACACATGACATCTAACCACATATACAGGAGATGGGAAGGACATGTATAGGACTGAAGATACGCCAGCTGAGACACCAAGTTCACTGAAGAATAGGAAGGCACATTAGAGGGTGGACAACAGAAGTGCAAGGAAATGTCTACAAAAAGAAATGTAATTTAAGGAGGAAAATAGATTGCTTAGAGAACCAATCAAGACTCAGTCAAACCACCAAGAGCGGACACTGGTGAGGTGGATCAAGATGTCACCACTGCTGTATGAAAAGAATTTCTTCTCACACAGATTTTCCTAAGTGAAATGTAGTTTCTCATTTTCCGTGTTATGATGGATAAATGTTTTTGTATTTGAGTATGGGAAAAGAAATGGTACTGACTGCTAGCTCTATTCCATCTTCATTTATTCCTCAGTGGACACATGACTTTCTCCAGTCTCAGTAAATAATGACTTTGGAAGGATTTCTCCTAACCTCTATAAAATTATAGGGCCTCTTTCTATTACTAAACAGAGCCAGTCTTGTGCAAGGCAGCACACGCAGGGTTAAGCCAATGACTCCTTGAATAAAAATGTTCTACTACGTTTGTTCCTCTAGATATCTGTAAGATACTAATTTCAAAGTGTTTAAAAAGGACAAGTGGGATGTGAGGAAAAAGGTTTATGGAGACAGAAGGAAGAAAGGCACTTAGGAAGATAGAAAAGCTGTTAAGGATCTTAATTTCTCTGCTTGAAGTCAAAATTTGATGAGATGATTGACCTTAAATTATTTCAAATTAGATTTCATTTCTGATTAATCTGTTATTTGATACCAGTGCCCAGCAAAAACAATTATATTAATTCTTTTGAGTGATGCTACAAAATAAACTTTTCCATTTGATTTGAAGGAGTTAAATGGTACGTTTGCAGTGGAAGACACTATATTAAAGTGCTGATAGATGTCCAGGTCCACTTTCCTCCATAATTAAAGCACTACTTGAATAAAACCTGAAAGGTTGTTGCCAGATCTCTTCTTTCAACCTTCTTTCATTACATTTGAGGTTCAAGTTTTGTACAAAGCTTGGCAGAAACTTGAGAACCGCAGTTAAATCCAGACTGTATTTGACAAATATAAAGGAGTATGGCTGACAATTACGACCAAGTGCAAGTTGAGTTTTATGACTTTATGTAATGGAGGCTTTAGCCATCCTTTGTGGTGTTCTTTGGCAGTTGGCTTCTTTCCTACTTTCTTTTCCAGAATTATGATGTTTGTAACAGTTTTATAAAACTTAAGTATTATTTCTGTTGGAATGTTGCACCCAAAGTTTTCAGCTAATATGTTTTGTTTTTCATTTATCTGCTCCCTCAAAAGTGAAAAACTTCTGCTGCGTTTACTTCAAAACCTCAGTCTTGAGGTAAAATCTGAGTCACTTTTTCGTGGATGTTCACTCTAACAATTCAGCTGATCTGACACGCTTTGTGCATGACTGAATTTCACAGGCTCCTGCAGAAACATCCATCTCCTCTACAGTGATCAGAATCTATTGCACTTTGCTGTATGACCTTGTAGCAAGATTCTTATCAGCCAGAACTATGTTGTTTTATGCCTATTATGTTATATGAAATCCCTGAGTGAATCTTACTGACCCTTGCCTCCCTTTCCAGCTCTGTCAGGAATAGGACTTGATCTTATTTGGAGTTTGGGTCTGATAGAATGTACACCTCTCACTGTAATTTCAAGTGCTCATAGCACTGGAAGAAGTAGGTTTGGGAAAGTATTTCTAAGAAAAGTAGTATGTTGTGCATTAGCTACTACACATAGCTAATACACAACATTTTTTTGCATAAAGTGGAAGGTCTACTTCTTTTAGCTGATGTTCATAGGTGACTAATGTGCCCTCTCATTCCCTGTGGAGCACAGTTGATACAATCTCCCTGAAAAGCAAGGTAATAATCACTGAAGTCTGGTAGAAAACTCATGCTATGTGCTGAACAGAAGAGCAGAATGGTTTTGTTAGTGCTGAAAACACTAAGGATGTGGAACAGGCGTGGTACTGTGGCATGGTAGGAAAAGCAGCAGAGAAGCCATGTAGATTTTTTTTACACCAGTCTGAAAAAAAATGACAGGGTATTTGTGAGCTGTCTGAGAGTACACAGCTCTGAAATCTTCACAGCTGAGACACAGTGACTGTCCTTGCCTTGATATTAAGTGAACGCAGGATATCTGCAGTATGTGTTTACCTCTGTGTAACCTATGATTAGACTGAAGAGAG